TCAGGAGGACCCTAGTTGGCTGGGTTTATATATTGCTGGTCCCCAAGATGGAGCACTTGGGAGAAGGAGTAGTTGCAACAGTAGGAGAAGCTGGGCTGTTGACCTTTGTTGCTATACTCTGTGAGATAAGGTGGGGGTCTCTGGAGCCTATAATACACAGTGTTTACAAGTATAGAATCAGATCTCATCCTGCTATCTCCATCCTCCCTCCCCTCACAGGGCTCACCCCTCCAGCTACCCCTCCCCACCAGTTATGGAAGCCCCTGGCTGCTGTGTCACTGCTGGCCAAAGCCAAATCTCCTAAGTCCACCGCCCAGGAGGGAACCCTGAAGCTTGAAGGAGTTACAGAGGCCAAACATCCAGCTGCAGCCCGCCTCCAAGAAGGGGTCCATGGTCCTAGTCCAGTCCATGTGGGCTCTGGGGACCATGACTATTGTGTCCGGAGCAGGACTCCCCTGAAAAAGACTCCTGCCCTAGCCATTCCAGAGGTGGGCTCCCGATGGAACGTCAAACGCCATCAGGATATCACCATCAAACCTGTCTTGTCCCTGGGCCCAGGCACCCCTCTGCCACCACACACAGCTGCCTCCCAGGAGCCACTTGATCACAGGACTAGTAATGGGCAGGCAGATCCCCCAGCCTCTTGTCTTGCCCCATCCACCTTGCTGTCCCCTGAGGCCTCGCCATCCCGGAATGACACGAACACTAGGACTCCCCGTGAGCCCTCAGCCAAGCAGCGGTCAGTACGCTGTTATCGGAAAGCCTGCAGGTCTGCCAGTCCCGCAAGCCATGGCTGGCAGGGCTGCCGGGGCCGCAGCAGCCGTTCTGTCAGCTCTGGGTCCAACCGGACCAGTGAAGCATCTTCCTCATCCACGTCGTCTTCCTCATCCCGGTCCCGATCCAGGTCCCTCTCTCCCCCACACAAGAGATGGCGAAGGTGAGCTCTGATGGCATGTTAGATCTTCTCCACTTAGGGAGTTTACATAACCTCCTCTGCTTTACTGTGAGAGCTTTTGCTCATTGAATTTGATACTAGGTATTCTGTCTTTGACTTTTGTCATCTTCCCCTTTCCTGGATTGAAGGAGGCAAGCTGTGAGAAGAAAGCTTCCATACCCTGTTGGGCTTTGGGGTATCCCTGAGGTTTCCTGCTTCTTGAGACATGCCTTGGGGAGACTATTAGGATTTGGTCTTGATCATGGTGATTCCTTTGCATACTGTATCAGTTCTTATTTCTGGTATTTTCCTGATGGTATGTGGGAAGATGGGATAGTGGGTTATTAATGGCAGTCCTTCCTTTAATCATCTGTTGAGGGAAGAGTCTGGGTAGTTCCTTTGGTTGTCACTGTGGCCTCATCTGTTTTCTGGCAGTACCTTTCAGTAACAGACCCAAAATTTCCCACTTAATGAATGAAGAATTCTTGGCTTTTGATGATGCATATCTTCAGAAATGGCCCGGACTACAGGTCTAGTACAGTCCTCTCCCCTTTATGTTGTGGTCACAGCACTCATGAGACATGTTAGGGGGCAGGAACCCAGAGACCCAGGCCTGGCCCTGTCAGCTAGTTGTAAGACCTAGAGCCCAGTCCTTTATCTCTCTGAGTTTCCATTTTTCTTTCTCATTTGTTAAATATTTTTCAGTTTTTAATTGTATAATTAAGTATGATCTGTGCCAAAAATAATCTAAACCATTCCAGATACATCTAAAGTTCATGAGGGCCTCAGTTTGGTCACCTGTGAAGCATTCTTCTAGACTTCTGCTCTGCTTTGGCTTTGTTCCTGTGCTTCCTGACAGGGAAGTGGGGCTGGGGCCAGGGTGAGGTAAGTAGAGTATACCTGCACTACTCCCAGCATTCCTGTGTGCCACTTTGTTCTCCAGGTCCAGCTGTAGTTCCTCTGGACGTTCCCGAAGATGCTCTTCCTCTTCCTCATCATCTTCCTCTTCATCTTCCTCATCTTCATCCAGTTCCCGAAGCCGGTCCCGTTCACTGTCCCCACGCAGGAGAAGTGACAGGAGGCGGCGGTGAGCTTGTGTTAAGGGAGTCAGTGCATGTGGGAGGCAAGTGCCTGAGGGTTCTGTGACTTGAGCTGTCTAATGGCTGGGGGACTGAAGGCACCTTCTTCTCTTGTCAGGTACAGCTCTTACCGTTCACATGACCAGTACCAAAGGCAGAGAGTGCTGCAGAAGGAGCGTGCAATAGTGAGTAGAGGAGCAGGTCTTGGGTTGAGGAGCCTGCCCCTGAGCCACAAGCTTAGTTTAGCGCCATCTGTAGCTATGGCCCTGGCTCATGATGTGTTAATTTCCCTTGACCTAACTAATGTATAGGAAGAGAGAAGAGTGGTCTTCATTGGGAAGATACCTGGCCGCATGACACGGTCAGAGCTGAAACAGAGGTTCTCTGTTTTTGGAGAGATTGAGGAGTGCACCATCCACTTCCGTGTCCAAGGGTAAGCTGGGACCTTAAGGCCATGACGTCTTTTCTGTCCCATTCGTTGGCCTTGATGCTTCTTTGTCTTACTCCCTTGATCTGGTGTGCTGGGCAATGTAGGACACCCTCATTTCTACAGTCGAGAGAGTTGGCTGTTTAGGGAATGATAAGAACCACCCCAGTCTCTCTCTGTACTCTGGAGCTATCTCTTCTCTATGGCATGTGCCCAAGTAGCCATCCTAGTTTCTAACTCACTCTCCCCACCAGTGACAACTATGGCTTCGTCACTTACCGCTATGCAGAGGAGGCATTTGCAGCTATTGAGAGTGGCCACAAGCTGAGGCAGGCGGATGAACAGCCCTTTGATCTCTGCTTTGGGGGCCGCAGGCAGTTCTGCAAGAGAAGCTATTCTGATCTTGGTGAGTGGAGGGAGGCCCTGAAGCCTTGGTATATTTCATTTCCTCCCCAGAAGGGCTCCCAAACTTTTGAGAGTGGGGCTTTTAAGAGAGTCTCTGGGGGGGGCCATCCTCTGACATGAACTTAAGGGGTGGGATGAGAAGAAATGGGGGCTGTCTTGTCTTTTCCACTTAAAATCAGTTAGCTTCATCCATTATTGGGATGGGAGGTGGCTGGCTATTTGAGCACCCTCTGGTTGGGAAGGGTGATCTGAGACCTTGATGTCTATCTTATCTGTCTCTCTCTACCTTTATAGACTCCAACCGGGAAGACTTTGACCCTGCCCCTGTAAAGAGTAAATTTGATTCTCTTGACTTTGACACATTGTTGAAACAGGCCCAGAAGAACCTCAGGAGGTAACCCTGGGCCCTCCTCCCCATCCCCCTTTTGTTTGGAGGCACCCAACCTCCTCCGTTCCCCTCCCCCACTTTAGGGGAGAGAGCTGCTAGTGAGGAGATGACTGTTTTATAAAGAAATGGAAAAAAGTGAAATAAAAAATGTGTTAAATCAGATTTTCTAAAGGGGTATTTGTTTTTTATAACAGGCATTTAAACAGATTAAATTGTATTCCTATGTAAGATAAATGGGGCTGAGGGGTACCCCCCCTGTGTTTGGAAGGTCTAAGTCACTATGCAGACTAATAAACGTGAAATAGAATTCCCTAGTGGTGGTGTACTTCTTTATATGGTGCTAGTGTCAGAAATACTTTTTCTCTGAACACATCAGGGACATGTTACCTCCGTTTACTTCCTAGGACCTTTCTTTGTCCAGATGCAAAATCCTATTGGACTTGAAACTTGGCTCCTCAGATATATTTATTGTCAATGAAATCAGTCATCTATGGCAGTGCTTCTCAAACTTTAAAAGGGCATTTGAATCATTGAGATCTTTTAAAAATGCAGATCCTGACTTATGGGGTGGGGCCTGAGATTCTGCATTTCAAACAAGGGAGTGTTGATGCTAGTCCAGGAAGGGATTTTAATATCAAGGACATAGAAGAAGCTCACACTGTTCCAAATAAAGGTTTCCTAAACTGAGGCTTGTGTGTATATGTACCATTTTAGCTTGAGCACAATGCACACAGCAGGTGCACAGGTGTTTAAAGAATGCATTCATGTGGGTAGACTCGGGGGGGAAAAGAGATATAGGAGTTAAGTATCTAGGAGAAGAGGGGATCTGTTTTGAGAAAGGCAAAATGAAGGAGAGGTGTGTTTCCTGAGAAAGTGAATCCTTTTCCTTCCTGAGGGGCATTAATGGGAAGTAGTCAAATGGTAGCGGGGAAGGACTGGAGAGATTGCTCTCTGCTAAGGTGAACCGAAATATGGTAGAACTTGGAATTAACTTGGCAAGCCTGGAAATTTGAGTACTCATGACCAAGGGAGAGGCAGTTGAGTTTTCCAGTTCTACAGGTAGAGTTCATGGTGTGACCTGTGACTCAAGAAGTAGAAGGGTTATTTTCAGGACTATAGGTTTGAAGAGCTTGCTGCTGTGTTTGACTATAGGTTTGGTACACAACCGCTTTTCCCTTCATGGAGCTGATTTAAGGTGGAATAAGTAAGGGGGTAATGGATTGTCTCATGGGTAAATCATGACTGAGGGAGGGGCAGTTTTAGAGATGAAAATCCCAGCACTACCATGGATAATCTGAAGGATCCTCTGCAGTGGAGGTGGGAGTATGGAGTGGTATCTGAGAAAGGGGTTCCTTGGGTGTTGAAAGTGAAGATGGAAGGTGGGAATCCGCTGGCAGCGCGAATGGGGGCGGTTGGGAGATCTTGTGACTAAATCTAGAGAGTGTAAGGACAGCTGGAGTTTGCCGGTCCTCACATTACTCTGGAAACCCAATCCCAGCTCAAGCGCGGGAAACCGCTGCTATTGAAAAAAGGTATGTTCAGCAGTAAGCCGGCCCAAGAAGGAGTTTTCCCGCCACGGCTGAGGGCGTGGCCTCTGATGTCAGGACCCTGCCTATACAGTGGCGGGCGGAGGGCTCCGCCCTTACCAAGATGGCGGCGCTTATGGAACCGGAAAGAGCTGATTTCGCCTTTGCCCTGCCTCCGAGGTGGAGGCAGGGCTGCCGTAAGGGTGCCCGCCCCTTCCTGTGTGCCCCCGCACGGCGCGTTTGCGTCACACTTGTGCGACCTCACTCTTCCGGATTCCCGAGTTTCTGAGTGGTGTGCGTCGGCAACCGTAGTGACGCCTATTGCCCGGAGGATGGCGGACGCCGGCTTGCGCCGCGTGGTTCCCAGCGACCTGTATCCCCTCGTGCTCGGCTTCCTGCGCGATAACCAGCTCTCTGAGGTGGCCAATAAATTCTCCAAGGCAACAGGCGCTGTGAGTCTCGGGCTTGGGGTACGCGCTGGGTTGGGATGACCACAGGGCTCCGGTCCCTGACGGGCGTAGGTACGGGATAGAAAGGTCTGTGTGGTCCGCCAGTTCAGTGTCTGCGGGGCCTTTGTGTGGAACTCGAAGGTGACCGGAGAAATCCTGGAGTATGGGAACTTCCGCTTGCACAAGGTCTGACCAGATAGCGCTGAGACTTGCTGCTTTCTTTTGACGAGCTATGTAGCGGCGGCAGCGTGGGACCCTCGTGGCCCAGGTCACGTAGCTAGCGAAGTGCCGAGAGGAGGGAGTGCCGTGTCCCACCAGAGGCATTGAAGGCTCCTGGTTTCTTTGGGTTTCATGTGGCTGATGCAATGCGTGGCTTGACCTTAACTCTCAATCGAATTAACCCGGGACTCAAAAATAAATACAGTTGCTTTAGAAATGATGGCTGGGATTTTCCTTAGTAAAGAAAATGAGCAGGGGTAGAGGCAGGATTTTGTTTTTAGTTACACTGAAGCAGTATTGAGCATCGTGGCCCTGTCAAGCAGCCATGGCAGTGGGCTTGAATCTGTTACTTCTCAAATGAAATAAATCTAGGTTTGGGACCAGGTTCTGCCACTTTTAAGATGTATGACCTGGGCAGCTTGCTTACACTAAGTCTGTATTTCTATGGGGATGTCATCATTCACTTTATACGTAGGGTTTTTGTTAAGTTTAAGTAGCATGATATCCAAAATGGCAATCCCAATGCCTGGTGCTGAGGAAAGACCAATGAGTGAATGCTGTTGTCATAGTTTTGGTAATTTAGAATGTTCCAAACAAATATACAAGGTAGATGACCAGGAGCATAGAAGGTTTGGAATATGTATCTCAAGAAAAGCAGACGTGACTGTGGAAGTAACTTTGAGAGAGGGTAGAGTGGTGGTCTTTAGTAGTCTTAGCCATTCTCCAAAATAGTCTTGTTCTTTATGGCAGAATCAGGCTGCACAAGTTGAGAATCATATCAGCCTCAGAAAAGGACTTGCTTAAGCTGCAACAGCCTGCCATGTGATCTGATATAACTGTTTTGTATTGGAACTGTTTTGAATTAACTATTAGGAAGGCTGCAAAGAGTGTTTCCACAAGGGGCTGAGTGCAGTTGGGCCTTTTAGAATCAGTTCTTTTTTATGTGACAAAACGAATCTTTGTGGAGGGCTTACAAAGGGCCAAATGCTAAACCCTTTGATCCTCTCAACAACTTAATAAGATGTGTAGGTTTATCTTCATTTTATAGGGAAGAAATACCTTCAGAAAGACTAAGTAATGTACTCAGAGTCACACAGTAATAACTGGCAGAGCTAAGTTTCCCATCTGTGCTCATCTAACTCTGAGCCTGTATTGTGTGTGCAGTAATGCCTTGCCTTTTTTTTTTTTGCTTCGATTTGTATCAGTATAATTAATAGTTGAATGCAGTTCTGTCCTGAATACGTAACATAGCTTTTTACCAGTCTTCTCTTGGAAGCTGGTTTCCAGTGATTTTGTTATAAAGCACATTGCAGCAAATACCTTATAAGTGTTTGTGCCCATGTTTCATGGATAAGGATATACTGCTAGGTGATACATTGCTAGAGTAAAGGGTTGCACATTTTTAAAGGCTTTGATGAGTAGGATTGACAAACTGGGGATAGGTGTTGCCAGAAACTACAGGAATAGCCCAAGGTTTTGGTATCAAACATTTGGAAATACCTAAGTAGAATATTTTTCTCCTAATTTATGTGAGTAAGAGAAGTCTTGTGAAGATATACAAATACAACAGGTATAAAACAGGTCAGTTTTAATGAGAAAGTAACACAGAATCAAATCTCCTCTAGATTAACCAGGATAGTTTTCTTATCTAGTGCTTTTTCTTTTCTCCTACAGACCCAGCAGGATGCCAATGCCTCTTCCCTCTTGGACATCTATAGCTTCTGGCTCAAGTAAGTCTCCCCTCTACCACTGTCTCTTTTCAACCTACAAGGAGCTGGGTTGTGCTCTTCGGTTTGGGAGGGTCCTGAGTCCCCTGAAGTTGTCCTAATGTACCTCAGCAGGTCCACCAAGGCCCCAAAGCAGAAGTTACAGGCAAACGGACCAGTAACTAAGAAGACTAAGAAGAAGACCTCATCTAGTGACAGCAGTGAGGATAGCAGTGAGGAAGAAAAAGCCCAAGGGCCTCCACCTAAGAAAGCTGGTAAGGCTGGGCAGGAAGTTGGGGTTAGTGGTTCCAGTGAAAGGGTCTGTAACCTACCTATACCACATGGCTGATTCTTACTGGGATCTATACTTTGGTTCAGCAATACCTGCCAAGCGGACCAGTCTGTCTCAGCTTCCTGGCAAGACTACAGCCAAAGCATCAGAAAGCAGCAGCAGTGAAGAATCCAGTGATGATGATGAGGAGGAGGACAAAAAGAAAAAGCCTGTACAGGTTTGCAACTTTGGGAAGGAAAGGAGTTGTTTAAGGGATTGGAAAGAAGAAACCTGAAATATTGGCTTCTGTCTTGTGACCAAGGGATGCTTGTGGGTATATAACACGTGATTATAGGGAAGAAAATCTGGGGACTTACAGAGAGGTGATAAAAGTATGAGATCTGGAAAGGATATGTTAGGCTGAAGTTAGACTCTGAATCTAGAGGAAATGCAACCCATTGTGCTTTGCTGGTGGCTTTGGTTTCTCTGGAACACTATTAAGGATTCCAAAAGTAAGAGAGTATGTTTTGTAGACAGGTGGTGGAAGCTCTAGGCAGGGAATGATAGGGACAAGGCTGATAGATCAAGTGGCTGAACTTTTTCTTAAAAATAATTTGTTACTATTTTTGTATGCTGTTCTGCTTGGTTTTCCCTCGCTCTTGCTGTTCCATTAGTCCCTAAAAAAGTAAAAGGAACTAGAAAAATGTCTACCTTAGGATGCCTTCTGGATATCTCTAGAAGCTGTTGATTCTCATCATGTTTTCTCACAGAAGGGAGTTAAACCCCAGGCCAAGGCAGCCAAAGTTCCTCCTAAGAAGGCCAAGAGCTCTGATTCTGATTCTGATTCTGATTCTGATTCAAGCTCAGAGGATGAGGCACCGAAGAACCAGAAGCCAAAGACAACACCTGTGACAGCTAAAGTTCAGGCTAAAGCCCTAGGCAAACCAGGTACCATTCTGTTTGCAAGAGGCTGCACTGGTTGCCAGGTTTCTCTGGGACTGATGTTAAAGTTGCTCATTCAGCACAGAGTGAAATGGCATTCGTTGTTGAGGTAGAGTTACTGATTAGTGCCATCTTTTAACGTTTTTTATTAAGCAAAAAATTTCACCATTAGGGGCTAGGAACTAGAGAAATAGTCTGCAGCAAGGGAAAACTTGCTTTAAAAAATGGTATTGGTTTGGCAATCTTTAGTTGGCATCTTATGGACATTTTATATTCCCACAAATCTTAATTCTACTGTGACCTTAGATTTGTATTCTTTGTGCTTTTCCCTACCATTTCTCCCTGTACCTGCATTCTTTGGGACAAGTGAGAGTTTGAATTTTCTTCTGTAATTTTTCTCTGATAAAGGCTAGTTATGATTTATAGGAGTTGGAATGGAAGTTGGAGTACAGAACTTTAGAGGGCATATCTAAGTTATTTGCATTATACCATTTTTTAAAAAGATAGTTGTATTTTTTTAATTGGGCAGGACAGTTGTCCTTTGATGCAGTAAATCATGCAGTCTCTCCTCATGCCTGTTCTAAAGGCAAGAGAGTTGATAGATTCCTAAATTCTGAGCTGATAGGAAGGAGGTATTTTATAGTCCTTTGATGCCTTGGTACCCCTTTACACTGTTTTTTTCCCTGAGGTACACCAGCTCGGGCAGCCCCTAAAGCAGCCAATGGCAAAGCAGCTAGCAGCAGCAGTGATGACTCAGAAGAGGAGAAGGCGGTAGCCATCTCCAAGAAGGTCTGGGCCATACCTTCCCCTGAGAAGAGGGGACCATGGCAGGGGATGACCTGGGTCAGCATTTCCCTGTGGTAACTTGGTTTTCTCTGTGTCTTGCAGACTGTACCTAAAAAGCAAGTTGTGGCTAAGGCTCCAGTGAAAGCAGCTGCTGCATCTACCCAGAAGAGTTCCAGCAGTGAGGACTCCTCCAGTGAGGAGGAGGAGGAACAGAAAAAACCCATGAAGAAAAAACCAGGTGACTAGACATGGGGCATCAAGCTGCACATCTGTGACCAGGGTCTAGTTGCAGGAGGACCTCTGCAGTCACTCTGTGGACCTCTCCACACAGCTATTGACACAACAGCTAGCTTCTTCTAGAGAAAAGAAAAAGTCGTTGAGCCTCTTGTAATCTAGACCAGAAAATGATATGCCACCACCTTGGCCACATTCTGTTGGTTAGAAGTGAAGTGAGTCACTAATTCTAGCTCACTCTTGAAGGAGATCTGAACTCCATTTCTAGAAGGGAGTACTATCAAAGAATTTGCATATTTTAAAACCGCCACACTGTCCCTTTTAAACAGGTCCCTATAGTTCAGTTCCCCCTCCTTCTGCTCCCCCACCCAAGAAGTCCCTGGGAACCCAGATTCCCAAGAAAGCTGCAGAGAAGAAACAGGCTGTGGAGGGCACTGGGGACAGCAGCGATGAGTCTGGTAAGTCATCACCAGTGGTGAGTGGGCGTAGGGGTGTATGAGGAATAAGGAAGATGAAAATGCTTGTGTCCCCTTTGCTTTTCACTGAGGCAAGACAGGGCTAAGGCTCTGTGTGGGTAGTTGCATCCTTTTTATTGTTACTGGTTGGGTTTGAACACTGGCCCCAGCCTAATGCCATAAGTTTTCTTCAGATTCAAGTTCTGAGGAAGAAAAGAAACCCCCAGCTAAGCCAGTTGTTTCTAAAGCAACCACTAAACCAGCTCCAGCAAAGAAGGCAGCAGAGAGCTCTTCAGACAGCTCAGGTAAGGCATATGGAGGCCCTCAGGGTAGTGGGAGGTCCAGGGGCCTCACTCAGTCTGATTTGGGGAGCTGTTTTGTCCTCTGTTTAGACTCTGACAGTTCTGAGGATGAAGCTCCTGCCAGACCAGCCAGTACCACCAAAAATGCCTCAAGTAAGCCAGCTGCCACTCTCAAGCAGGCTGCAGCTAAACCAGCTACAACTCTCAAGCAGCCTGTGGGCAGTGGCCAGAAGCCTCTGGCCAGAAAGGCTGATAGCAGTTCCAGCGAGGAGGAGAGCAGTTCTAGTGAGGAGGAGGAGGAGAAGGTGAAGAAGGCTGTGGCCATCCCCAAGTCCAAGGTGACAGCCAAAGGAACTCCATCTTTGCCTGCCAAACAGGCCTCTCAGGGTGGTGGAGACAGCAGCTCTGATTCAGACAGTTCCAGCAGTGAGGAAGAGGAGGAAGAGAAGACTAAGTCCCCAGTTAAAAAGAAGCCACAGAAAGCAGTGGGAGCTGTAGCCCTTTCCAAGCCTGCTCCTACGAAAAAATTAGCAGCTGAGAGCAGCAGCAGTTCTTCCTCTGATGACTCCAGTGAGGAGGAGGTGAAGGAGAAGCCCAAGAGCAAGGGCACTCCAAGACCACAAGTCCCCAAGACCAATGGTACCTCTGCACTGACTGCCCAGAATGGAAAAGCAGACCAGGACAGCATCGAGGAGGAGGAAGAAAAGAATGCAGCAGGTGCAATTTCTAAGCCAGGTCTGTATCCAGAGAACCTGTCCCCCTGGGTTTGTTCCTGCATGTTAGGGTGGGATATACTCTTGAGGGATGGGTTAGAGAGAGGAGGCCGTGATTAAGCTTCCAGGTAAGGGCTTCAGTGTGGGAACATGGGAGGAGGAACAGGAAACGTCCCCAAAGGCTGGCTTGTTGTTCTGTAGGTTCAGCAAAGAAGCGGAAGCAGAATGAGGCTGCCAAGGAAGCAGAGACTCCTCAAGCCAAGAAGATGAAGCCCCAGACACCCAACACATTTCCAAAAAGGAAGAAAGTAAGTTGTCTTATTTTCCTGTCAGGAGCCAGCCTTTAAAGAGTAGAAAGAACAATTTGGGATCATCTTGACAGCCCTCTGCCTAGCCTGGCACACATGTACATGTGTGTAGCTCAGGAGGGCCTTTTGGTTACATGACCACGACATCTTTAATTTCCTACTTCGTTCTTCTCCAGGGAGAAAAGAGGGCATCTTCCCCATTCCGAAGGATCAAGGAGGAGGAAATTGAGGTGGATGCTCGAGTGGCAGACAACTCCTTTGATGCCAAGGTGAGGAGAGGCGTTTCACCATTCTTGAGGGGAAGGGAGGACAGCTCTTGGTTTCGGCTGGTGGGAAGCTCTCTGGGTTCCTGTTGCCTTAAGCAGGAAGGAGAAGGTGACAGGGCCTTGGTGTCCATCTTTGTGTTAACCACCTCTCTCTACTTGCCAGCAAGGCGCAGCCGGAGACTGGGGGGAGCGAGCCAATCAGGTTCTGAAGTTCACCAAAGGCAAATCCTTCCGACATGAGAAAACCAAGAAGAAGCGGGGCAGCTATCGGGGAGGCTCCATCTCAGTCCAGGTCAATTCCATTAAGTTTGACAGCGAGTGACCTGGGCCGTCTGTCATGAAACAGGGGTGATGACCTGAAACCACTTACTTTCCCCAGTGGACTCTCAGCTCTGTTAGTGAGGGGTTTTGGTGAGGACGGCAGTTTAGAATAGGTCTGAAGACACTGGATGTTAACATCCTCTGTGGTCCTTTTCTGCATTCATAGTTTTGTACAGTTTTGTTTTTGAGTTGAGTAGCAAGGACAAGGTAACAGGAGTGGGCTTTTTTAAGATAAGTTCATTTTAGTTGTCATTCCCTTTTCCCTGTTTTGTGGAGGTCCTCATACTGAGAAATTTGTATATTTTATATTAAATCATTTCCTATTGGTTTTTGTTGTGATTTTCAGTGGTGGGTTCCCACAGATAAAGTCTTAGCTGTTGCTCAAGACATAGCAAAGGTCACACATACGAATTTCTTAATTGGAGATTCTGCCTATGTGAGTAAATGTGTCCACATTTCTTCTCTCCTAGCCCTCAGAGCAATGGTGAGGGGCACTTAAGAATGGTTAATATTATACTTCTATTAAGCATGTACTAAGTAGTTCATCCTCATTCATGGGGTCTAGAACTGAAGTTTTCAGCTGGCATGGACTTTTAACTACTTTTTGGAATACAATTCACCATTTTGTTACAGGCAAAATTCTGGTGTGGTGTGAATGCTGTGGGGTTAGTCTGAATATTTTGTTTTCTGTAATCTTATCATTATTATATAATATTTGCAAAACATGTTTTTTAATTTGAATGCATAAGCTTTTATATTGTTCAAAGAATTTTTTCTTATTATTTGACCCTTAATAATTGAGGCCTAAATTGAGGTACTAAATTGAGGCCTGCATCTTTTCATTTTTTACATTTCAGAGAACAAAATCATGTTGATTTAATCTAAAAAGTCTATATCACTTGGTATTTCTGTCTTGGTAGCAGTGGTGACACAAAGTTAATTTCATTAACTCTTAACATGGTGGGGAACCACTGATCAAGAAAGTGAAAGAAAAGATACAGTGAAAAATCTCAATCCTCAGAATTAGATTACATTAGTCAGGTGAATTTATAGGTAACACCTTTACAAAGTGTATATCCTGGTAAAGCTTGAGTAGAGTGAGGTTGGGAGAGCATTTGTCTTGTAGTTGGTACATGGAAACAACTAATGTTGCCCCTGCAGAACCTTTACTATCAAACAGTGGGGGTAAGGATAAAAACCAGCGAGAAGACATAAGACTCCTTAGGCCACTGACTGATTGTGAAGCTGTAGGGAGGTGACTGTTGGCACTGCTCATCCAGAGTAGGAAGGGGAGGGAAGAGTAAACAAACACTCAGGGCAGGACTGTCCCCATGGTGGGAAAGTGCCCAGCTTCATGGATGGAGATGTAGGTTTTAAGATTAACCTCCCTGTGTTTGGATTCCGTATTTACCAAGTAACATGATGATAACCAGGTTTTCCATGTAACGGCCTCTAGGAAGAAAATGCACTGTTCATGCTGACATAGGTCTTTCAGTCTGCATGGTAAAAAAGTGGTTAAATCTTACTACAAAATAATAAACTGGCTGGTTTATAATGTGTCTTGGGGAGTCTCATTACTGTCAGTTCAAACCCTTCCCACCTCCTACTCAAACCAGAACAACTTGGGTGGCAGTTAGAGGGCTGGGGTGCAGACCTGTGAGTCACTGTGGAGACTTTCTGACAGCAGCTTGTTGGTTCTTCTTGGCCATATCTTGTCTCATGGTGCCTTTTCCAAGCAATAGTCTAGTCTACATAATTGAAGGTTGGCAAAATGGCCTATGGGTCAGATCCGGCCTGTGGCTTGGTTTGGATTAGGAGTTAAGAATTTTTATATTTTTACAGGGCTTAAAAATATATATATATAGTGTGACAACTTTATGCGGCCCATAAAGCCTACAATATTTACTGTCTGGCCCTTTACAAAAAGATTGCTGACCCTGATCTAAATCAGTGATTCCATAAACACTGGCCGGAAATTAGTATCATCTGGGGAACTTTTAAAAACATACCTAGGCAGCTCCATCCTCAGACCAGTTGAGTCAGACCCTTGTGCTCTGGTGGGGCATGGGTGTTAGGATTTTTTAAATTTATTTTTATATTTAATTTTTAATTTTTTTGTTTTGGTATCATTAATCTACAATTACATGAAGAACATATGTTTACTAGGCTCCCCCCTCCACCAAGTCCCCCCTACAAACCCTATTACAGTCACTGCCCATCAGCGTAGTAAGATGCTGTAGAATCACTACTTCTCTGTTGCACAGCCCTCCCCATGCCCCCACTCACATTACACATGCTAATCATAATGCCCCCTTTTTCTCCACCCTTATCCCTCCCTTCCCACCCATCCTCAGTCCCTTTCCCTTTGGTAACTATTAGTCCATTCTTGGGTTCTGTGATTGTGCTGCTGTTTTGTTCCTTCACTTTTTCTTTGTTCTTATACTCCACATATGAGTGAAATCATTTGGTACTTGTCTCTCTCCGCCTGGCTTATTTCAGAGCATAATACTCTAGCTCCATCCATGTTGCAAATGGTAAAATTTGTTCTTATGGCTGAATAATATTCCATTGTGTATATGTACCACATCTTTATCTATTCATCTACTGATGGACACTTAGGTTGCTTCCATTTCTTGGCTACTGTAAATAGTGCTGTGATAAACATAGGGATGCATCTGTCTTTTTCAAACTGGGCTGCTGCATTCTTAGAGTAAATTCCTAGAAGTGGAATTCCTGGGTCAAATGGTATTACTATTTTGAACATTTTGAGGAACCTCCATACTGCTTTCCACAATGGTTGAACTAATTTACATTCCTACCTGCAGTGTAGGAGGGTTCCCCTTTCTCCTCAACCTTGCCAACATTTGTTGTTTGTCTTTTGGATGTTGGCCATCCTAACTGGTTTGAGGTGATACCTCATTATGGTTCTAATTTGCATTTCTCTGATGATTAGGGATGTGGAGCATCTTTTCATGTGTCGGCCATCTGAATTTCTTCTTTAGAGAACTGTCTATTCAGCTCCTCTGCCCATTTTTTAATTGGATTGTTTGCTTTTTGTTTGTTGAGGCACGTGAGCTCTTTATATACTTTGAATGTTAGCCCTTTATTGGATCTGTCATTTATAAATATATTCTCCCATACTGTAGGATACCTTTTTGTTCTATTGATGGTGTACTTTGCTGTCAGAAGCTTTTCAGCTTGATATAGTCCCATTTGTTCATTTTTGCTTTTGTTTCACTCGCCTGGGGAGATGTTCATGAAGAAGACGGTCATGTTTATATCTAAGAGATTTTTGCCTATGTTTTTTTCTAAGAATTTTATGGTTTCATGACTTGCATTCAGGTCTTTGATCCATTTCGAATTTACTTTTGTGTATTGGTTTAGAGAGTGATTCAGTTTCATTCTCTTACATGTAGCTGTCTAGTTTTGCCAGCACCATCTGTTGAAGAGACTGTCATTTCCCCATTGTATGTCCATGGCTCCTTTGTCATATATTAATTGACCAGGTATGTTTTGATTAATGTCTGGAGTCTCTATTCTGTTCCACTGGTCTGTGACTCTGTTCTTGTGCCACTATCAAATTGTCTTGATTACAGTGGCTTTGTAGTAGAGCTTGAAGTTGGGGAGTGAGATTCCCCCCACTTTGTTCTTCTCAGGATTGCTTTGGCTATTCGAGGTCTTTGGTGGTTCCATATGAATTTTTGTTCTATTTGTTCCAGTTCATTGAAGAATGCTTTTGGTAATTTGATAGGAATTGCGTCAAATCTATATGTTGTTTTGGTCATGATGGCCATTTTGACAATATTAATTCTTCCTAGTCAGGAGCATGGGATGAGTTTCCATTTGTTAGTGTCCTCTTTAATTTCTCTTAAGAGTGTCTTACAGTTTTCCAGGTATAGGTCTTTCACTTCCTTGGTTAGGTTTATTCCTAGGTATTTTATTCTTTTTGATGCAATTGTGAATGGAATTGTTTTCCTGATTTCTCTTTCTATTAGTTCATTGTTAGTGTATAGGAAAGCCACAGATTTCTGTGTGTTAATTTTGTATCCTGCAACTTTGCTGAATTCCGATATTAGTTCTAGTAGTTTTGGAGTGGAGTCTTTAGGGTTTTTTATGTACAATATCATGTCATCTGCAAATAGTGACAGTTTGACTTCTTCTTTACCAATCTGGATTCCTTGTATTTCTTTGTTTTGTCTGATTGCCGTGGCTAGGACCTCCAGTACTATGTTAAATAACAGTGGGGAGAGTGGGCATCCCTGTCTGGTTCCCGATCTCAGAGGAAATGCTTTCAGCTTCTCGCTGTTCAGTATAATGCTGGCTGTGGGTTTATCATATATGGCCTTTATTATGTTGAGGTACTTGCCCTCTATTCCCATTTTGCTGAGAGTTTTTATCATGAATGGATGTTGAATTTTGTCAAATGCTTTTTCAGCATCTATGGAGATGATCATGTGGTTTTTGTCTTTCTTTTTGTTGATGTGGTGGATGATGTTGATGGATTTTCGAATGTTGTACCATCCTTGCATCCCTGGGATGAATCCCACTTGGTCATGGTGTATGATCCTTTTGATATACTGTTGAATTCTGTTTGCTAATATTTTATTGAGTATTTTTGCATCTACATTCATCAGGGATATTGGTCTGTAATTTTCTTTTTTGGTGGGGTCTTTGCCTGGTTTTGGTATTAGGGTGATGTTGGCTTCATAGAATGAGTTTGGGAGTATTCCCTCCTCTTCTACTTTTTGGAAAACTTTAAGGAGAATGGGTATTAGGTCTTCACTAAATGTTTGATAAAGTTCTGCGGTGAAGCCATCAGATCCAGGGAGTTTGTTCTTAGGTAGTTTTTTAATTAGCAATTCAATTTCATTGCTGGTAATTGGTCTGTTCAGATTTTCTGTTTCTTGTTCAGCCTTGGAAGGTTGTATTTTTCTAGAAAGTTGTCTCTTCTAGGTTATCCAGTTTATTAGCCTATAATTTTTCATAGTATTCTGTCATAATTCTTTGCATTTCTGTGGTGTCTATAGTGACTTTTCCATTCCCATTTTTGATACTGTTTATGTGTGTAGACTTTTTTTCTTGATAAGTCTGGATACTTGTTTATCTATTTTGTTAATTTTCTCAACGAACCAGCTCCTGCTTTCATTGATTCCTTCTATTGTTTTATTCTTCTCAATTTTATTTATTTATGCTCTAATCTTTATTATGTCCCTCTTTCTACTGACTTTTGGCCTCATTTGTTCTTCTTTTTCTAGTTTTGTTAATTGTGAGTTTAGACTGTTCATATGGGATTGTCCTTTCCTGAGGTAGGCCTGTATGTTAATACTTCCCTTGTAGCACCATCTTTGCTGCATCCCACAGATTTTGTGATGTTGAATTATTGTCATCATTTGTCTCCATATATTGCTTGATCTCTGTTTTTATTTGGTCATCGATTTCATTGGTTATTTAGGAGCATGTTGTGAAACCTCCATGTGTTTGTGGGCTTTTTCATTTTCTTTGCGTAATTTATTTCTAGTTTCATACCTTTGTGGTCTGAGAAACTGGTTGGTACAATTTCAATCTTTTTTAATTTACCCAGGGTCTTTTTGTGGCCTAATATATGATCTTTTCTTGAAAATGTTCCATGTGCACTTGAGAAGAAATATGTATCCTGCTGCTTTTGGGTGGAGAGTTCTGTAAATATATGTTGGGTCCATCTATTCTAATGTGTTGTTCAATGCCTCTGTCTCCTTACTTATCTTCTCTCTGCTTGATCTTTCCCTTGGAGTGAGTGGAGTATTGAAGTCTTCTAGAATAAATGCCTTGCAGTCTATTTCCCCTTTTAATTCTGTCAGTATGTGTTTCACATGTGTTGGGTGTATAGATATTTATAATGATTATATCCTCTTGTTGGACTGACCCCTTTATCATTATGTAATGCCCATCTTTGTCTCTTGTGACTTTCTTCCTTTTAAATTCTATTTTGTCTGATACTAGTACTACTATTCCTGCTTTTTTCTCCCTATTAGTTGCAGATATTAGAAACATCTTTTTCAGTCTCTTCACTTTTAGTCTGTGTATGTCTTTGGGTTTGAATTGAGTCTCTCTAGACAGCATCTAGTTGGGTCTTATTTTTTTATCCATTCAGTGACTATGTCTTTTGATTGGTGCATTTAGACCATGTACATTTAGGGTGCTTATCGACAGATATGTGCTTACTGTCATTGCAGGCTTTAGATTCATGGTTACCAAAGGTTCAAGGTTAACTTCCTACTATCTAAGAGTCTAACTTAACTCACTTGGTATGCTATTACAAACACAATCTAGAGGGTTTTTTTTCTCCTCCTTTTTCTTCCTCCTCCATTCTTTATATATTAGGTATCATATTCTGTAGTCTTTGTCTGTCACTTGATTGACTTTGGGGGTAGTTGATTTAACTTTGCATTTACCTAGTAATTAACAATTCTACTTTCTTTACTGTGGCTTTATTACCTCTGGTGACAGCTATTTAACCTTAGGAACACTTCCATCTATAGCAGTCCCTCCAAAATGTACTGTAGAGATGGTTTGTGGGAGG